GATCTGTGAATACCATTTCAATAGCGTCCTTTTTTGTCAGAAAACTCGGGTTTTATTGGTCCATTCTTAGCCATTCTTAATTTGCCTCATCCCGAAGTCCCCAAAGGCCATTCCACACCATTACAGCAGGCCTGGCTACCTGGCTTCACAAATCAAAGCTTTGAGTATTCAAGATTGTATATAGCAAGTTATAGTAGCGAATTATTCGAGAATTATTGTCAAAAATCATTATGCCGAAATCCCAGAAACAAGGTCACAAGCAGTCTGTAGATAAAGCAAGGCAGAGGAAACGTAAAAACAAGTTAAAAGGAGTGCAAAAGCAGTTTACGAAGGCTATAAACCCAGAGACTCGGGAAGCGACTGGACTGACTTTTGTTTGTGACGACGACGTCATGAGTGAGCGAGTTCCACCGCCTCCTCCCACGATTTCCTCTAGAAAACTGCAAAAAACATCAACTGAAGATGCCTCCGACGAAGAAGCGTACATTAGCGGCATAGAAAAAGCTGAGGGATACAGAATTGTGTCGATGGAAAGCCTTCGAAAGTTCGCTATCAGAATCCATAGCCATTCACCATGTGCGTCAGGTAAGTTCAAACCTTTTAACGCTCTCTATTTTTCCCTATTTGTATCTAATTTTTATATACTCTTTCTTTATAGACTGCTTGGAAGTTAAAGAAAAGGCTGTTGATCGCTACGGGATGAGCAGCAGCATTTATGTGTTCTGCCCCGACTGTGAAATGAATGAGTTTTTAGCTACTGGTGACCATGCTGGATTAGACACGTGCCCTAAAACAGTCCAAGGCAAAGATGTAAACAGGAAGATTGTTTATGCATCAAATGAGATGGGAATCTCCAGAGAATCTGTCAGTAAACTTTGTGAGATTTTAAATATGCCTTTTTCTATCTCAAAAGCAACATGGTATTCACATGAAGCTGCTTTGTTGAAGGCTCACAAGGATGTTGCCATGGAGATACTAGACAGCAACATCAGAGAAGCTAGACTGGATGCCATGAAAGACCAAGGCCTAGATGTGGATGATGAGACCCTTGATGTTGATATACCAGTCAGCTTTGATGGGACTTGGTCTAGAAGAGGTTTCACTGCCAATCATTGTGTTGGTTTTGTGATCTCTACTAGCACCGGCAAAGGGTTGGACTATGAAGTCCTGTTTAAAGTCTGCGGCCAATGCTCACAAAAGAAAGCATCAATGAGTGAAGAAGATTATGAGGAATGGCAGGCTGATCATATATGCCAAGGCAGCTTTACTGGCACTAGTGGCAGCATGGAGCTAGAGTCTGCCAAAAGAATCTGGAGAATAAGACACTTCTAGAGGTTAGAAGTAAAAAAAAATTAAATTCTCAAACTTTAGGCTCATTTTCTGAAAATATAGGTAAATTGAGGATTCCGAGATGCCCCCTTTCAATGTTTTCAGTGTAGATTAGGCCAATCTTCATGAAACTTGGCCAAAATATTGATTAGATGTTGTATTACAAACCTATTGAGCCATTTTTTAAATTTTTTTTTTTTTGGCTCTTTGTATCTTTTTCTTTAGAAAAAGGACTGTTGTTACCATGGAAAGATAAATATACAACAAATCAAAGAACTGCTCAATAGGTTTGTATTATAACTAGACGCATAGCTGCGTGAACTCGGGGTTCTCATAGCTGATTTTATGTCGAAAATGATGTAGTGCAGATCACGCAGCTTTGAGAAAATAATTTATTTTTGTTTTACTCAGTATAGTCGTTGATAGTATTGATATCAATCTATTAGGGTATAATACAGTCAAGTTTAATTTGTTTTACTGTTAATATATTAAAAGATACACGAATCACTGCTATAAAGATTTGAAGCAATAAAAACACGCAGCCAGGAGTTTATTTTGGAATCCCTGTGCTATGTTCTTGCCCGAGGACCACTCCGTCGTCAGGGCAGGTTGCGTCGAGTACTTATTGCACATTTTATTATATATATTCATAGTTCTATGGCACACAGGCATATTTGTCGGACTTGATTGATTCTTAATTTTCTCACCGTTGCCGCTTGTGAACCATTTTTAATGAACAACGAGAACCACTTCGTGGATTTTATCGTGCCCAGTTAACTTGTTGTAACTT